GTTCTGAGGAGCAAGAAGGGATTGCTCTGTCATCCTAAAGAGCAAGTCCTTTAGTTCTGTGGTGTTCAGTTGTTTTAGTCGTATCAGACTCTTCATGACCCCATTTGGGGTTTTCTTTTTTTTTTTTCTTTTTGTTTGTTTGTTTGTTTTTGGTGAGGTGGTTGGGATTAAGTGACTTGCCCAGAGTCACACAGGTAGGAAGTATCAGGCATCTGAGGCCGGATTTGAACTCAGGTCCTCTTGACTTCGGGGCCGGTGCTGTATCCACTCCACCACCTAGCTGCTCCCCATTTGGGTTTTCTTGGCAAAGATGCTGAAGTGGTTTGCCATTTCCTTCTCCAGCTCATTTTACAAATGAGGAAACTGAGGCAAATGGGCTAAATGGCTTGCCCAGGGTCACACTGTAAGTATCTAAGGCCAGATATGAACTCAGGAAGAAGAGTCTTCCTAACTCCAGGCCTGGCATCCTATCTACTGAGCCAACCAAGCGTCACTGTGCCAGAGCACATGTCTGTCTCCATGGAGCCGAAGTCCATGTTCCACAGCACAGTCTCTGTAATGTAAACAAGCAAAAAAATGAGTAAAAGGGACGATTTGAACCCAGGTCTCCTGATTTAACGTTTATTCCTCTTTCTACTCCAATATGTTGCTGTTGAAACCACCTGTTTATGTGTATGGGTACAGAGATCCAAACACCCTCAAGTAAAAAGGCATCTGAGGGAAAGGCATGGCCTTTGGAAAACATCTCCCTATCCCCATTTCCTTGAGCCATGGTGGTGGCCATGATATCTGTTTAATCACTGGGTGGCAAGGTGGGCTACTTTGATGTGGTTACTCACGTTCCCTTTTTTTCACATACTTACCCATAGAGCCTTCCCCAAAATAGGGCAGGCTATAGAGAAGTCACACAACTGGTGGGATTTAGATATGGGTCCACCTAGAACAAAGGACTAAACTAACTCAGTGTTTCCCCATCCAAAACATGTCACAGACCAATACATTTATTGAAATTCTCAGCATGGTTCTCAAACCTCCACGTGGCGGCTTTTCATGGGAAGAGATACTAGGCAGAATCAGGCTGCAGCACACTGCTTAATGATAGTCCTTTGTACTACATCCGTTAAAGGGTATATCTGGTCTCTGCTTAAAGATTCCAGTGAAGGGGGGCCTAGCACCTCCTAAGATAGCCCCTTATTTTCTAGTTTTTAATTTGTTTTTAGTTTTCAACATTCACTTCCACAAGATTTTGAATTCCAAATTTTCTCCCCATCTCTCCCCTCCCCCCCACCCCAAGACAGCATGCATTCTGAATACCCCTTCCACTAATTTGCCCTCCCTTCTATCATCCCCCTCTTCTCTTACCCTCTTCCCCTTCTGTTTTCCTATAGGGTAGGATAGAATTCTATACCCCATTCCCTGTATATTTTATTTCCAAATTGCATGTAAAAACAATTTTTAACATTTGTTTTTTAAAACTTTGGGTTCCAAATTCTCTCCCTTCCTTCCTCCCCACCCACCCTCATTGAGAAGGCAAGCAACTCAATACAGGTTGTACATGTGTAGTCATGCAAAATACTTCCATATAATAGTCATGTTGTGAAAATCCAACCCCGCCCCTGTTTATTCTATTCTCTCCTTTGACCCTGTCCCTCCTCAAAAGTGTTTGCTTCTGATTACTCCCTCCTCCAGTATGCTCTCTCTCTTCTATCATTCCCCCTCTCTCTCATCCTCTTTCCCCTTATTTTCCTGTAGGGCAAGATAGATTTCCATAACCAATTGAAGGTGTATGTTATTCTGTCCTTAAGCCAAACCCAATGAGAGTAAGATTCACTCATTCCCTCTCACCTTTCCCCACTTCCCCTCTCCCTTTCTCCTTCTCCCAGTATAATTCTCTCTCACCCCTTGATTTTATTTTTTAGATATCACCCCTTCATCTTCAACTCATCCTGTGCCTTTATCTATCTATCTATCCATCCATCCATATATGTTTTTCCCCCTCCAACTACCCTCATACTGAGAAAGATCTCATGAGTTACAGATATCATCTTTCCATGTAGGAATGTAAACAGTTTAACTTTATTAAGTCCCTTATGATTTCTCTTTCCTGTTTACCTTTTCATGCTTCTCTTGAGTCTTGTATTTGAAAGTCAAATTTTCTATTCAGCTCCGGTTTTTTCTCAAGAATGTTTGAAATTTCTCTATCTCATTGAATATCAATTTTTTCCCCTCATAGATCATACTCAGTTTTGCTGGTTAGGTGATTCTTGGTTGTAATCTTAGCTCCTTTGCCCTCCGGAATATTATCTTCCAAGCCCTCCAATCCCTTAATGTAAAAGCTACTAAATGTTGTGTTATCCTGATTGTGACTCCACGATATTGGAATTGTTTCTTTTTGGCGACTTACAATATTTTCTTCTTGACCTGGGAACTTTGGAATTTGGCTATAATATTCCTGGTAGTTTTCATTTTGGGATCTCTTTTCAGGAGGCAATAGGTAGATTGTTTCAATTTCTATTTTACCCTCTGGTTCTAGAATATCAGGGCAGTTTTCCTTGATAATTTCTTGAAAGATGATGTCTAGGCTCTTTTTTTTGATCATGACTTTCAGGTAGTCCAATAATTTTTAAATTCTCTCTCCTGGATCTGTTTTCCAGGTCAGTTGTTTTTCCAGTGAGATATTTCACATTGTCCTCTATTTTTTCATTCTTTTGGATTTGTTTTACAATGTCTTGATTTCTCATGAAGTCACTAGCTTCCATTTGCTCCATTCTAATTTTTAAGGAAATATTTTCTTCATTGAGCTTTTGGACTTCCTTTTCCATTTGGCCAGTTCTGCTGTTGAAGGCATTCTTCTCTTCATTGGCTTTTTGGACCTCTTTTGCCATTTGGGTTAGGCTATTTTTTTTTGTTTGTTTATTATTTTTAGGCAATTGGGGTTAAGTGACTTGCCCAGGGTCACACAGCTAGTAAGTGTCAAGTGTTTGGTCTGAGGTCGGATTTGAACTCAGGTCCTCCTGACTTCAGGTGCTGTATCCACTGCAACACCTAGCTGCCCCCTAGGCTATTTTTTAAGGTGTTATTTTCTTCCTTATTTTTTTGGGTCTCCTTTAGCAAGCTGTTGACTTGTTTTTCATGATTTTCTTGCATCACTCTCATTTCTCTTTCCAGTTTTTCCTCTACTTCTCTTAGTTGCTTCTCAAAATCCTTTTTTGAGCTCCTCCACGGCCTGGGACTGATTCATATTTTTCTTGGAGGCTTTAGACGTAGGAGGTTTGACTTTGTTGTCTTCTTCTGGTTGTATGTTTTGATCTTCTTTGTCACCAGAGTAAGATTCTATGGTCCGACTTTTTTTTTTTTTGCCTAGTTTGCTCATGTTCTCAGTCAATTGCTTAAGTTTTAATCTCTTTGTTAAGGTAGGGGTCTGCTTCCAGTGTGGAGAATGTACTGTCCCAAGCTTTGGGGGTTTTGTGCAGCTATTTTCAGAGATACTTCCAGGGACCTGTAAATTTTCAGTTCTTCTAAGGTGGTATGATCAAGAGCAAGGTGTTTACTCCTTTCCTGGCCGGTGCTCTGGTCTATGAGTGACCACAAGCACTCTTTTCTCCCTTGGAACTGTGAGAAGGATTCCCCTCTCCATCGCTGCCACAAGCTCCACCCAAGTGCTCTTTGCCCCAGGACCACCACCTAGAACTGAGACCCAGATCCAAGCATGGGCAAAGCAACAGAATCCTGCCTCAATGCCAGCAAAGAGATCTCTGCAATCCCCCTCTGATCAGCTTCTTGATCCCCCCAGTGTCTGTGAGCCAAGAGCTCCAGAAGTAGCCGCTACCCCGGGGCTGTGCCAGAACTGAGGCTGGGACCAAGCTCCTCTCTCACCAAGGTGTGACAGATCTTTCCTACTGCCCTTCTAAGTTGTCTTTGGCGTTTGTGGGTTGAGAAGTCTGGAAACTGCCACAGCTGCCCTCGATTCAGTACCCTGAGGCCTGCTCCAGGTTTGCTGAGGCCTGGTCTTTGCCTGCGCAGCCCATGCTAAACTGCACTCCTCTCCCAGCCTGGCGCAACAGACCTTTCCTGCCAACCTTCCAGGTTGTCTTGGGCTGGAAATTTGTTTCACTCTTTCTTTTTGTGGGTTCTGCTGCTCTAGAATTTGTTTAGAGCCATTTTTTTATAGGTATTTGGAGGAGTTTGGGGGAGAGCTCAAGCAAGTCATTGCCTTTTACTTGCCGTCTTGCCAGCCTATTATTTTCTAGAGAGATCTAATCATTAGGAAAATTTTCATTATGTCAGGCTTAAATTTGACTATGGCTTTTTTTCAAGCTCATACTAAAATAACTTTAAGTTACCTGAGCACATGTAAGTCAAGTCAACCAGCATTTGTAAAACACTTGTTATGTGCCAGGCACTATGCTAAATACTGAGAATACAAAGAAAGGACAAAAACAGCCTATGTTTTCAAAGAGCTCAGTCTATTGGGGGAAGGAGGAGACAACATTCAGATAACTATGTACAGGATAAATTGGAGTTAATCTCAGAGGAAGGCACTGGCATTAGGGAAAACTAGGAAAGACTTTTTGCAGAAGGTGGAACTTTAGCCAAGACTTGAAGGAAGTCAGGGAAACTATAAAGTGGAGATGAGGAGAGAGAGAATTCCAGGCATGGGAGCAGCCAGTGAAAATGCCCCAGAGTTGGTAGAGGATGTGTCTTGTTCAAGGAATGGCAAGGAGGCCACTGTTTCTGGATCACTGAGTATGTGGAAGAGAGTAAGGTGTAAGAAGACCAAAGATGTAGGAAGGGGCCAAGTTATGAAGGGTTTTCATAAAAACTGTACAAACTCATTGGGCTAGGGGAAGGGTAGGATTTGATGGGAAAGATGATAATCTAGGAGCATTGTGGATATAGAAAAGGTAATTTAAAATTTTAATAGAATTTGAAATAAATGGCTCTGGACAATCTTCATACAGATAATTGAAATTTAACTATTTTCCCCATTTTTATTTCAGTGATAGTGGTCGACCTTTCTTTCTGTACCTTGCCCTGACTCACATGCATGTTCCCTTGACTGTGACTCATTGGTCAGCAGACTTATCAGGTCAAAGGCTGTACAGGGAAAGCTTACGGGAGATGGACAACTTGGTCGGCAGGATTAAGGACAAAGTTGACAGCACAGTGAAAGAAAACACATTCCTTTGGTTCACAGGTAAAGTAGTAAAAATCATTTAGCCTAACCAAGATGTAATGTATAACCCAGATTAAAATCCTTGCAGCCAAACTCCCAATACAGAGGAAATACCTAAACAAGGTTGACACTTCATTAAAGGAGATATCACTTATGACAGATTTTTTTTATACCTGTAATTCAATTCAGTTCAATTCAGTTTAATTTTGCAAACATTTATCAGGTTGTTACTATGTGTGGGAGAAATTGAGTAGGAGCTAAATATTGGCACCTCTCAGATCTGAGTTCAAATCTGGCCTCAAACACTTACTAGTTGTATGACCCTGGTCAAGTCACTTAACCCTATTTGCCTCAGTTTCCTCATCTGTAAAATGAGCTGGAGAAGGAAATGGCAAACCACCCCAGTATCTTTGCCAAAAAAACCCTAAATGGGGTCATGAAGAGACAGACACTACTGAAATGACTCATTAATAACAACAAATGTATATAGTATATAGAAAGTATATAGAAATATATACATATACTATACACACAGGGAAGACATATACTATATATGTACATATGTACACATACACGTGCACATATGTGTGTATAACTTTGAAAACTGTAAAGAACTATGTGAATGTCCAGTGTTGTTATTATTGACCCCATTAACACCATATGGTTGTAGTCAGGATGTCTGTTGACTACTTATTAAGACTACTCAGTGCTTTAAGTAACAAAAGTACAGATTTTGACTTCTGTTTGAATTAGGATGACATGAATGATTGTCACAGGTTGTCTCAACTTTTAAAACCATGCATTGTCTGCTTTCAGGGGACAATGGCCCATGGTCTCAGAAGTGTGAGCTGGCAGGAAATGTGGGACCCTTCACTGGACTATGGCAAACTAAAAGAGGTAGGGAATAAGTTTTCCCCTTTATTTTAGTAGAAAGAGATTCAGCTGAAATTTAATGTGGTAGCTTATACTGGGAAGCTGAATCACTCTTGCCCTAGTAAAATGGTGGTAGAAATACTTGACTTCCGAGTTCTGGAAGAAGAAGAAAAGTCTGGCCCTTAACTGACTTTTCTAGCATTGTTTTTTATGGTTCTTTCATGTGAACCAAGCCTTCCATTCCAGCCCAAACAGAGCCTCCAGCTTTTCTGCCTTTGCACTTCGTCTTTCACAATTCTTTCTTCTACCTTCTCCCTAACCTCAGCTGATGTAAATCTTACTCATCGTTAGAGGCCCAGCTGTAATCTCCCCTATTTCATAATGCCTTTCATGATCAGACTGAGCCATGGTAAGCTCTTCATCTTTCCTTTCTCCGAATTCTACAGAGTTTCTGGCTTTCTTTCCCTCTGTGATCCTGTGATCCTATAATATGTGTTATGAGAATCACAAAGTAGATAACCAAGAATTGATTGCAAATCCAGAGGGATTTAAAAGTGTAGTAGACTTTTGATGATCCATGCACAAATTTTAAAACCCTAGACCTATTTACCCTTGCCACCCAGCACCTTGAAGGTATGTCCCCAGTCTACTTCTTAGTATATGATGCAGTTATAAGATTTAATCATAGTTGATGAAGTTTTAACATGACCATGAGATGTCAAAACTAACTGTAAAATTGTGGCTGTAACTTTCTGAGGTTCAAATAAATCCCTTGATTAGCTGAGCAAAAAACTGTCCTTACTTCTGAGGGTCATAAAAAAGTTGAGTTATTAGCTCTGCAGGCAGTTCAAAGCAAGGAGCATGAAGTGGAAGAAGAACCAGGCTCCTGAGAGAGGTATGCACTATTGGTAGAGAGGAGGTAGTTTCCTCTGTCCTTTCCCTACCCACTTTGAAGCAGAGCTGTTTGACCAGTAGGAGACAATCTAGCAGAGGCAGCAGAGAAACACCCTTTACATGGACACAGATACAGGGAGACAATAACTTGAGGGAGGAAGCAACTTTTGAGGAATGAGACACCCAACAGTAGCAAAGGGAGACAGCTATGGACAAAAGCAGACCTTAGAAGCCCAGCGGAGCGATATGGTCAGCAGAGACAATGTACCCATGGGGAGCTGTTTGAAGTCTTGATGAAGAGAGAATTACCAGTTTCTGTATTTCCAGGAGTTGTGAGTTACCTTTGCCACATAGGTATTCTTCAATATTCCCCATTGCCATCATATTCTTAATTACAAGTCTATTCTTCCTATATATGCTGTGTCCTTTTTTGGTTTAGGTGGGAAACGCTTTTTCAATATTGTACTCTGTCATTCCAGCAAATACCTTTGTTAAGAGCTAATTGAGTCTATAGGCTAATTGTTTATGGGAAGCATACAGGTGAGGGCTTATTAGCTGTGGCATTAGGAGTGTAGGCTCATAGGATTGCTCCTAGAACCTGTGGTAGCAGCTGCCTGTTACAGACCTGGCCATTGAGCATAAATGCTAGTTTGAGTATCCCAGAGGGGATATTACACTGATTTTAATAGTAAAATGGCTGTCTAAATAGAAAATAGAATGATTCTGAACTTTGTGGCTGAGAGTAAAAATAAAATGCTATTTGGTGTTAGAACTCTGATCTAGATGGATCCTCTTGTTCAAATTAGAGCTTTTTGGTTTTATGATTAGTTACTAGGGCTGAGATAATGTGGTATAATGGAAAAATCTGTAGGCTAGAAGTTTATTGGAGTCCTGACTTTGTTCGAACTTTGGGCAAATTACTTACCTTCCCTAGAACTTTTTCTGCATTGGTACAGCGAGGAGGTCAGAAGAAATGATATCTAAAGCCTTTTCCAGTTCTGAATTTTGATTTTTGGTCTTGTACCCGGGGTAGGTTGGTGTAGACAAAGGGCTGAGAGATTGTGGAATAGATAGATATATGCTTGATATGGGTGTTGTAATGGTATGAGTACTTTGTCCTATGCCCATAATTATGATTCTTGCTTCCTTACAGCTTAATTATTAACGCTCCCTGTTCCCTATGGGATAGGACCAGTCAATATAGCTTCTTTGATGTTCTAGTGGAAAAACAATAAGGGGTGGTGGGCAAGAAATTAGAAAGAAGGGAGCCTAGAGAATCTCAAGTTGAGGGTTTTTTGTATTTTAGTTTTAGCATTCAGCAGCATAGATGTTTACAAGGAAACAAGTTCCTTTAGTGTTCCAAGTAAGGAGCATGCACAGGGAGAATCTTCCTATGTGAGGGTGACCTATGGAACCACCAATTCAATTAAATAAACATTTAAGAAGCTACTAAGTGCAAGGTACTTTGCTTAGCCCTGGGGATACAAAAATCAAAATGACACAGTCTTCTTCCTCCAGGGACCTTATACTCCACAGAGAGAGTGGGGAGAAGAGAGACAATCTGTAGGACATCCCTTGTTTGATGCATTTTTGAAACATCTAGTTAGTTTTGGAGGAAGTGGTCTGTGACCATGGAAGAGGGTTTTTTTCTGTTTTTGAAACTAACTGACCTGCTGAGTGATTGTACTGTACCTACCCTAGTGTTCTCATTAGCACAAGGCTCTCACCTACAAAGCAGAAGTTATAAATAACCACAATGTGAAATGTGGCAGCAAAGCATCCAGAGATATCAGAGTTAATAGGCTTTTGGATCTACAAGGGAGCGAATGTTAAGTCCAACCCTCTGGTTTTACTGGTAAGGGCACTGGGGTTCAGAGAGGGGAAATAGCTTGCCCAAGATCACACAGCTAGCATTGTTGCTGGGATGCAACCTGACTACCCAGGATGGCTGCTCCTCTACACCATGCTTCCTTTTTGGCTGTGAAGAAAAATTTCCCTAGTATAATATAACATCCTGGCCCCTTCTAAAGTTACAGGAAGGCCTGTTCCTCCTGTCCAAGAGTGTGCTTTGCAGAATAAGAATGAGGCGGTGGTGGGTGGTGATGAGCGGGGAGACAACCGTAGGAGAAAAAAATATCTTGGCTGATATACACAGACACAACAGTTTCCTGGAGTTTGGACTTTGGATGTTATACTTTGGGTTTGAACTACAGAGATTACATGCTTGTCATTTTACTGTCTCCCTCTCTCTCTCCCTCCCTCTCTCTCTCCCTCCCTCTCTCTCTCTCTCTCGCTCTCTATCTCTCTCCCTCTCCCTCTCCCTTTCCCTTTCCCTTTCCACCACCTCCTCTTTCCCCATCTCTCCCTCTACACCACCTCTCTCCTTCCATCCTCCCTCCTAAAAGCTAGGTCCTCTGACCCCCAAATCCAATGCTTTCTCCATGATACTATGCTGCCTCTCATTTCTCTAACTGAAATGATCCACAAATCATCCCATTGTTGAAGCCTGTCCTAGGATTGGCATTCTTAAAGTTTTGAGGTCTCAGAACTCCTTTATACTCTTTATACTCTTAACAATTATTGGGGACCCCCCAAAGAGCTTTTGCTTATGGGGGTTATATCTATTGATATTTACCAAATTAGAAATTAAAACATGTTAGAATTATTATGAAAAGTTTTCATCTTGTAGACTCCCTGAAAGGGTCTTGAAGGTCTGCAGGAATCTCCAGATCACATGACCACCATTGCCCTAGATGACTGTAGGAGGTAAAAGAAGTTAGTGGAGGAGAATTGGGAGAGGTAGACAGGATATAATTCCATAATAAAACCAAATTAGGTATTTTTTTAAAGTTACAGATTTGAAAATCACTTAAATTATATTCCTCATCAAGTTTTTTTTAAAACGAAAGTATTGATACTAGAAAAAAGGAAAATTTTTAAATGTGATGCATGTACAGGGGGATAGCCCAAATTATTTTTAATTATGTGGATTTTAGACACCTGAGAAAGTATAAAGAACTTGAGTGAATTCATTGTAGAATTAGAGACTGAATCCTGGGGTCCCTGTTTCAGTTAGGGGTCTGGACTCATTTTCACTTTCATTTGAATTTCAGCATTTCCTGGTGTGGGAGATCCTGCTTAGAAAAACTTTTAGATCAGATGAAAGGGTGACTGAAGATGGTTAGTGTCTTTACAATCATGTAGTACTCACAGTTAGTACCACAGTGCAGCCTCTTCTCAAAACCAGCTTGTTGCATCAGACTGAGAGCTGCCTTGGCTCTCAAGCATAAAGGCCCCCCTTTGTACCCCTTTTTGCCACCTGATGAGGAAGCAACAAAGGACAGCTGATCTGATGAGGCAGGAGGCCTCCTTTCACTTTCTTGTCTCTTGGTGGGGATGATCAGCTTGGTGCCAAGGCTGGTAAGAGGGATAAGAGGGCTGGACCACATTTTCTCCTTGGCTTCTCATTAGCTAGAATAGGTTAAGGGGGAGGGGCTCAGGACGTTGCCTTTCTCCACGTCAAAGGGCAGAATGCATAAGGAACAGCCCCCTCAGTCCCCAAGAAGCCCCAGTTACGGGGCTAGCAACCTCTGGAGGGCTGTCTGAGGAAGGGGATTCATCTGGGCTTTGTGTGATCTTGGGCAGTTTGAGGCATCTTTCTGAACTGCAGTGTCCTCAGCTGTAAAATGAGGGGATTAGGTTAGATGACCTCAAAGACACAGGGGCTTTTAGCCTGGAGTCTGTGAACTTTTTCATAAAAAACATTTTGAAAACTGTGGTTTACTATAGTTAGTTTCCTTTGTAAACTAATATATTTTTATTTTATGCATTTAAAAATTTTCTTAGAAGGGGTCCATAGGTTCCAGGCTGCCAGAGGGGTCTGTTTTTTACACACACACACACACACACACACACACACACTCACACACTCTCTTTCTCTCTGTCTCTCTGTCTCTCTGTCTCTCTGTCTCTCTCTCTCTCTCCCTGTCTCCCTCTCTCCCTCCCCCTCTCTCCCTCTCCCTCCCTCCCTCCCCTGATCTCTAAATATATAACACCATGCAGCATATGACTTAGATTCAGGGTTCTAGGAGTCATCACTCCTCCCCTTCCTGACACTACCCCCAGACCTAATTTCCTATTTAGTGTGGAAGTGACGGCTTGTTTTTTCCCCAAGATGAATGCCCCTCTGTCTGCTTCTTTGGCTTAATTTGAAGAGCAGAATTGCTGTGCCTCCCTTCCCCCTCTCTCCATCTCCCAGTGATGAGGAAGCATTCTGTTGTGTTTGTGTTTTTGGCATCCTGCTACGCCTAGGAGACCTTGACAGTTTAAATTTATGCTATCAGGTTGTTGCATAACCTTTCCCACTGGGAAGCAACATTCTGCATCCTGGGCTTTCCATCCAGTGGGAGGATGGGAAGGCAGGCAGGGAAGGATGTGTTTGCTGCTGGGTGAATTAGCATTTACAGGTTGTTGGTGATGCCTTTGAATCTGTCTGGGTCGGGGTCATCTGCTAGAGATTCAGAAAAAGAGAGAGGAAGTCTCTGAAAGAGATTTAGGAAATCCAGAATAAAGTCTCCTCCAGAGTACTTTGACCATATTACCTCATCTAAGCCGTGCCCATGTCTGCAACATTCTGTTTTTACGTCATATTCGTTTCTAAGTATATCCTTCCTCTTACTCTAGCCAGTGAGCCACCACTTGTAACAAAAATTTAAAAAAATCAGTTCAGCAAAAACAGTCAACACATTAACCACATCTGACAGCATATTCAATATTCCATACCCATAGTTTCCCACCTCTGCAATGAAAAGAGGTAAGTATATTTTCTCCATTTTTCTTCAGTCACACTTAATCATTATGATTACACAAGATTAGTTTTATTTTATTGTTTCTTCCCTTTAAATTGTTGTAGTCATCTAGTATGTTATTTTCGCAGTTCAAAGCAAAACCATTTAAAGAAATGGCATGGGAGTAAGGAACAAGCAAATGCTTGTTTAGCATCTAGCACCTACTATGTATCAGGCACTGTGTTTTTTTGTTTTGTTTTGTTTTGTTTTGTTTTTAGGCAGTGGGGTTAAGTGACTTGCCCAGGGTCACACAGCTACTGAGTGTAATGTGTCTGAGGTCGGATTTGAACTCATGTCCTCCTGAATCCAGGGATGGTGCTCTATCCACTGCGCCACCTACCTGTCCCAATCAGGCACTGCGTTAAGCCCTTTACAAATATCATCTCATCTGATCCTCACAACAACCCTGGGATTTAGGGGCCGTTATTATCCCCATTTTACAATTGAGGAAACTGAGGCAGATAGAGGTTAAGTGACTTGCCTAGGGTCACACAGCTATTAAGTGTCTGAGGCAGTATTTGAACTCGTCTTCCTGACTCCAGGACCAATACTTTGTGCACTATGGTGCCACCTAGTGGTACAATAAGAAAAGTACCAATTAAATATTTTCCCGTACTACTGAGAGACACCATCCTTGAGAAGATTGGACACTCTTAGAGAACCTGTGTGGAAAGAGATCACATATGTAGTCAGGTTCTATTCATGAGAGCACACCTGGAGGGAATACCTGTGGCTGAGGGTGACCCACATCTCTGATGCTTTAGGGCTGCTGCCTTTTTTTATTTTTGTTTTTTTTGGATACTGCCTTTAAAAAAAATGAAATATTCTCAATTATTAATTATTAACTGAATTATCAACAAATATAAACAATTTAATATACAAAGAACAAAGAGAGGATTATATATGAAATTCTGTTAGGCAGAGGTTTTTTAAAATTTATTTATTTATTTATTTATTTTTGTTTTGTTTTGTTTTTGGTGAGGCAAGGGGGCTTAAATGATTTGCCTGGGGTCACACACCTAGTAAGTGTCAGGTGTCTGAGGCCGGATTTGAACTCAGGTCCTCTTGACTCCAAGGTCAGATCTTTATTCACTGCGCCATCTAACTGCCCCAGTTTTTTTATTTATGATTTAATTTTAATGAGGTAGTAACAAAATCTGCTTCTTTCTTCTAGTTATGTCATTGCATTATACTTGTTGGACCTATTCTTCATTGGCTTCTGCTAGTCATGCAGCTTCCACTGGATGCTGCTCTGGGGGGGCTCAACCATCGCCACTACTCTGCGGGATGTGTGGTCAGTACCAGATGTGGCTCCATTAGACTATACTCTATTATTGATGTAGTCTGTGCCAGATGCTGCTGGGCATGGTCCCATTGGGCACGTAGTTGTAGAACTTCCACAGAAGTCCTTGGCTTCAGTGCGATTTCTTTCTTTTGAGAAGTGTGGCACTACAACCTTTTAGTGCAGAATCTTGAGCATTAAAAACCCCCAAAACCCAAAAACAAACCCAGTTCCTTTAGAATAGTAGTTGTCCAGTAATAGACCAACAAAATCCTTCCTTAGGAGAAATAAACCATGGCTCCCCCTCACCGCCTTATGAAGTGAGCTATCTTTCCCACTTCTCAGTTTTGGGTTCTGAGACTCTTGCAAAAGATTCTCAGCCCCAGGCACCAATCTCTTTAGAGCAAAAAACAGATACATTCCTAAGCGGCTACTGCTTTTGGACTAACTCTTTTCTTTTATTAAACCCTTTAGTCCCTGGGACTGAGGATCTCCCTGGGCTCTCTCATTATAGCTCAGGATGACCACTGTGTACCACCCGATTTTAATCTCTGTAGGCTAGACTATCCTAGGTCATTATCCCTCTAAGGACCATTTCTCCAATATTTCCCAGAACTCTGCGTTTTGATGTTTCTCAATATTTTCAATTCCAAACCCATTCCACTTTCCCAGGTAGATAAATGAGTCAAAGGAAAGATACAGAAACAAAGCTAGGTCTAGGGACAAACTTATTACTGGACTGATTCAGTTCTTGACCTTTCCTAAGTAGATTTGACCAGCAAAACCTGAAAAGGCTTTAGGCTCCTCTTACACAAGGTAGAAATGAGATTTGTTTTAAAAAAAAAAGCCAAAAAAATATTTGGGGTTCTCCAAAGCTGGTTATGAGAAAGAACAAAGAATTTAGAACATTTCCTGTATGTCTTGCTTGGCCTGGAGCATCAAAAGTTCAGTTTGCAGTAATATGACTACACATCAACACATGTCTCTTTTTTTCCTTCCCTCCCAGTCAGCATAATTGTTTTTATTATTCAGGCTAGAAAATCATGGGGTATAAGACTGAGTTATGTGTGAACTGTGTACAGTGTTTGGTTTGGAAGGGTGCTTTTGCACATTAACTATTAAAATTTTGGTCTCTTTCAACTGAAGGTGAGATTGAGGGGAATGTTCATAGTTAATTCAATTTATCTTTGAGACTTTCCTGTAAAACACGATTTCATTTTTTCCAGCCTCCTGGCTTCCACTGAACTGGGTGAACTCTGCTTCAGTGATTCAAAATGACTCCTTTATTTTAATCCTTGGAAATTCTTAGTTCTTCAGAACACTCTGCTAATCACAAACCCATGGCTGAAGAGAAGCATTTTTAGGTTGCAATCATAAGCTAATGAATGGCCTCCAACTTCTCTTGCAGGTGGAAGCCCAACTAAGCAGACCACGTGGGAAGGAGGGCACCGTGTACCCGCTTTAGCTTATTGGCCCAACAGAGTGCCAGCCAATGTTACCAGCACTGCTTTGTTAAGGTGGGAAGCTAAAATGCCTTGCCATTCATTGTAGGTTTTCAAATAGGAGAAATCATAGATGTCAATAAACTCACTTCCTCACTCATTGGGCTGCTGAGACAGCTAGCTGCAGTTTTGATGCCGTATACAAAGGAAGGGTAACTTTAGAGCAGAAGTTCCCAAACTTATATGGCCTATAGTCCCCTTTTAAAAAAAATTACTCAGTGCCCCCCGGAAATCTACTTCCTTTAACCCTTTAATTTTTTTAAAAATTTGCACCATTTCAAAAAAATAAAATATTTTTATTTAATATATTATTATATTTAATAATTTATTATAAATTTGTGGGTTTTTTCCTGCATTGAAATTTTGGTGACACAATATTGCATCATGTAACTGTATAGTATTGTATTGTAAACAAGTCATTACAGGCATATATTCCTGCCCATGCATGCTGGACTTTCCAACAATGTGCTTTGAGCTTGTCTGCCTACACTTGCTTATTAAGACCTATCTGTGAACTTGACTACTGATCAGTAATAACTTGCATTTTGTGTATTTATTTGGAAATAATGTAATCGCTATGACTTTAACAGTTCTTCAAAATTTTCTTCTTTCTTTATGCTTCCACTGCCCCCTTATTTTTATTTAATGCTTCCCAAATTGTACCCGAGGCTACTACTGCCCCCCCCC